CATATTGGAGGATAACTCCATATCTTGCATAATTTTTACCCCCAAAAAGCAATTTCCATCCATTCTGAAATGCCATTTTCTCCTGACAGTAGATCCCCTAAGCTTTTAAATTAAACATTGTTACCTGATTTCTCTCCTCAATGTTCCCAAAGGTCTGATGATTACATCCTCACCTGTGTAGCCGTATTACAGTATAAGCAAACATCTTTGACACATTTTTACAAAAAATATTGCTACGGCAGAGACGAGCCTCCCGTTGCCCCTAGATAAGATTTTATAGTTTGCTTGTCAAATGTAACTGGTGTCAGGTATCTCTGCTTCTCTGGCCACATGAACTGAAAAATGTAACTTCAACAGAGAAAGAAAACTGAATTTGAAACATCAGCGAATCACTCGAGCTGTCATTGTGGGACAGACACAGATGCACTGTTGTGTAACGGCATCCTTCTGAGGTGGAAATATGCCAGCTTTGTTTGGTTCAGTGTAAACAAGCAAAGGTGGCACAATGGAGGATCTTCTTAACGCCAGTCTAGTGGGATCTCAGTGTAAAGAAGGCTTTACTGCAAATGCACCACAGACATGCAGGGCTGGTAAACTTGAGTGTTTACTGGCATTTCAGGATTCCTGGGTATAGAAGTTCACATTTTCCAGTTACACTTTAGCCATTTGAATTCCTGAAGGTGCGTAGTGAATAAAAAGGCAGAAAAATGTCAATGACATTCAATTGTAAATTTTAATTTATTACCAGTGTTAGCACTGTCAGAGGAAGGTTTTTCAAATTGGTAGATATTTTGTGAAATGAGACTGCAATTATGCCATTTTGTAAGTGCATCAATTCACACAGTAGTTCCATCATAGCTCTTAGTGTGCCATCCAGAAAAAAACCCTCCGATTTTCTGTGCAATTGAAAATGATCTAAAGCTGAAAGACTGTCTCCAAACCTTCAGATATACAGTACCTCACTAATTCTTAGGCATTACGCTGAGACTCTTATTTAGAATAGCAAAAGGCTGAGTGCAAGGTCACTATAAGCTTAAACCACTTCATTTCAGACATGATACAAAAGAAATATCTAAAGAAAGGGGTGAAAGCATCAAAGCTACTGTCAATGCCCAGCCAGCATTTGTAGTGACATGCTTTCGTCACCCTCGAATGATCTTAGAGAAGCGATGGCAGCATGAGCCAGCAAGAAAACAGTCGCTGTTGTCCTTGAAGGTTTCATTAAAGGATTGATGTTTCAAAGATGCTCGGTATGTTGCTCCTTGTCGTGTTCATTTTCATACATACATCTATCCATCTGCCATCATCATCACTTATCTCCACTTATATGCCTTGTTCTCCTTCTTAAATGGCAAGACAATCAACTCCAACCACAGATACACAAGCATTGATGGGGCTGGAGTAAAATCCGCAATCGAGTTATAAACAGATCTCTCTCTCAAAGCAGGTGGTCAGAATAATATTTTAGATTTGTGAGAGGTGGCAGGGTTGCTATGTCCCGCTATGTTGCTACCAGCATCCAAGAGAAACCTTGAATGAACCTTGAAGCTGAGCAAGGTTTTTTTGGGTTACTGACACTTTTTGGCATCTCAAACTATCACTGATGCCGCTCATCGGATATCTGCAATCATTGCATGGTAGATGTTTGAGTTTGTGCATGGGTGGGAAAGGGCATTCTCTTTAAAACTCTCTCCAGTTTTTCCAGAGTATTTTATTGATGTATGCTTTTCTATATCTAGCTTTCAATCAGTCAGACTTGTAGGTAATCAATACTGGTAGAGGGCATTAAAACTCACTCAGTGTGTATTTGTGTAAATCCCTGGAAAAAGAATCTTCTCCTCCCTAATTCCTGCTCCTTATCTATCCTCCCAGACACCCATCAGTGTCACATGTTTAAAGATATATGAGCCTGATAGTTAATGAGTTTTAACAGCATTTTTCTAGTCTACACTTTTGAGAAAGGCTTATCAGCACTGTCTGCACCCTCCCCTGATTTTACGTGTTAATACTGTATAGGAAACAGCTGCACTTAGCATTTTCTGCTTGTTGTGTTAACATTCACTGTTGCATCTACATTTGTAATGTTTTGCAAATGTCAGACATTTTTCTTTAGGTTAAGGACATCACTTCTTACTTCCAGTGTGACATTAAATGGAGCTTGAACTTTAACTGGTTTCCTTTAAAGAACAACTTCCATTAAATGATCAGTGTTTCAAAGACTCCTGATATCTAGCTTCTTGCACCTTTTGATGATGGACCCATCTATTTACAATCGCAGCAAAGTCTATACATGTTGAAATTATGTTTTTCTCATTCTTAAGTAGCTACACAATCACCCAATAATTATGATGCTCCAGAATTTATAAATCACATTCACTGTTCAATTCTTCTGTGCTCCAGACCAAGAATACCCAGAAATGCACAAGCAATGAAGCACAAATGCAGAAAGAAGCAATTGTGACCTGACTGACCCACTTTTTGAGTGTCTTATACACAACAGATCAGATCATTAGTCGATCAGAAAACAGGGTTTTTGAGTTGGCTTGTTGATGTGAATTGGCATAAACCTCCGGCAGAGGCACAGTGTGCTTTCAGGGGAATTCTCACTTCAGTATCTCATTTTGGAATCGTTATACTGCAGCTACACTTAATCTGCAATAATGCTGCTGTAAGCATTACACTCGCTGTAGTTAATAAATGCAAAATCAGCACGCAAGTAAAGTAAATGCACTATATACAGTACATGATCTGCATGTAAACAAACTGTTGCATAGCAGCAGCAGCGGAGCTTTTCATGTGAAGTTACCTTACACTGGAGAGAAGTGTGAACTAACTTTTGAGTGATTACAGTTGTGTGTCTCACTGGACCTACAGTAAGTTACAGTAATGACTGTGCAGCTAAAGTTTGCAATTCTGCCGCCAGACAAAATTAAGTCTACCAAGCCTTAAGCCTTTGGCTGAGGAATAGCTCTGTGGCTGAACTTCCTGTAAACTGAAATAGGGCGTAATTTAGAAACTCCATATAATAAAAAACACAAGGGAAGGGAGAGAATGGATGCTAGTCCTAATATCCTCCTGTTGTCTCTGTGTGTGACACTGGTATAGACTCAAATAACTGAGAATGCTAGCCTAGGGCTGCCACATGCATATATGTACCGCCACATAAACAGAGAAGAGACTACTTTGAGAGGGAGAGAGAGCGAGAGGGATGATGTGACTTGAGACTGGTTAAGATAAGCATTTTTTCCCTTTTTTGACTGTTTTTCTACAAAGCTAAAACACAAACACACACACAGAATGTCTTTGTGAGTTTGCCTGTCACTGAGTTGTCACAGTGACAGAGGAGGTCATCTGGATGAATGCCTCCTATTATGGGATATATGCTCAGATCCTTGTTTGGAGGTCAAAAGGTTAAACATCCAATCAGTACACAGTGCATCTAAACCCTTTGAAACCATGAATCATAATAAGTTACCAGAGGAATCAATAGATGTCAATCAAGACACATTTCATAGGCAGCCACAAAGCATAATCCAGGCAAAACCAGATGGAGCTTAAGTCTTCATTTACGTCTGACTGATAAGTTTTTCAAGGACAACATTTAAGCCTCCAATTACTGATACTTTGAGTGTATTCTATATCTAAAATTATAGCTGTTCTCATCACAAGTTTCACAAGTACTCAACTCAAACACATAAACGGATGGATGGATGTATAGGTAGATAGATGGGAATGAAGACAGAGTAATGATAATGTCCATGCGTTAAATCTACTTAAATTGTCATAATCAATACACCAAATTACCGGTTTCCTGTATACAAACAGCATACTGACGAATTTCACCATGAATACATAATTAATTTAAGTTAATCATCAGTGTTCTCACATCAGATGTGAATGAAACTCAATGGCAAATTGTATCCTCATAAGAAAACCAATGTATTGACCTAACCCTGCGAAAAGACATGATATTACATTAAGAACTACAACCAGTCACAGATGAAGCAAATAACATTGATTATCTTGTGTCAACAGCGGTTGTCAAGGTCTTGGATATATTAGAGACAGTAAACAGTCGGTTCTAGTAGTTGGTGTGTTGGATGGAGAAATGGCCAAGTGTAAAGACCTGAGAGACAAAGTCCAGATCATTATGGCCATTTGACTGGGTCGCATCTCAGAAACTGTTAGGCTTGTAGGGTACTCCCAGTCAGCAGTGGTGCATCATTGATGTGCAAGGGAAATTAATAATATCCCATCTTGTCCAAACCAATGGAAGGACTACTGTGGCACATTTTAATGAGGCTTATTGGAAGAAATTTCCATGTTGTCACACACTACAGTGTGTCGCTGTGGTTCCTGTCTGACCTACTGTCTGTAAGTCTTTCTACCTATTTGTGTCTTTCCACTTTCCAGGCGGCAGTTGAAGGATTAGACTATGCTGTTCTGAAATCGGCTAGTCAGCCTGCCAGCCACTGATAAGCGCACTCAGGATCGATTAGATCTGCCTTTAATCTATTCAACTTTTTCCAGGCGAAAGGAAAAAATGCTTAGTATGGGAGATGTGAGGTTCGCGATACGGTGACTTTGGGAACACGTGCCTAGAGGGCAAATGCATTGTAGGCCACATTTTTAGGCATGAGATCATATTAAATATGCATTTTTACAAGTCCTCTTTAACAAGCTGCTGTAGGCAAATACAAGCTAAACAATTCTGAATAATTTTCTATTAACCATGAAGGACAGAGATCATTACTAAAAGAGATGGAGGCAAAACAGAAAAATTACTTCAAGAAAGCAAGAAAGAAAGAAATGGAGAAAAAGCTTTTAAAACCAGTGTGCTTTCACCCATCACTCTCACTTGCTTTGTATCTCTCTGAAAGAGAGGGAGCAAGTTTAACAGAATGCTAAACAGCCTAACAGGGCCTGATGTGTCAATGCCAATTCACAGACCTTTTGATTCCACACACATTCGCACCATAGGAAAAAAAAGCAGAACGCACCTTTAGCTCATTACTGGTGTCGGATACGATGAGGGTTTTCTCCTCTGCTCAGAGACACAGATATGCCTGAAAGAAAGAGGAGGGGGACAGAGGGAATTTGCATTAATCACATGTAAGAACCACCATTTATTGAATAGGAAAGGGTTCGAAGACATTGTACTTTATGTAATTATGATGTAATTAGATATATTTTAATTAAACTTACAGTGTATCTCATAATGTTTGCATGTAATTATACAGGAGAGAGTAGGACAGATGTGTAGCTTGTTTATGTCAGAATATTTATAAAGAAAAAAAGTAAAAGAAAACAAAACAAACTGGACTTGTGTGTGTGTGTATAATGCCTAGAAAGCTGAGAAAGAGCATAAATCAAACTACTTAAAATAGTCTCTTATGCTAATTTAAACATGAGCAACTTCACAAACAAACCTCTCGTAACACTGTCAGATACTCCTTTAATCCTCTTCCTTAAGCTCTGATAATGAATTAAGTTTAAAAAAATGTTTTCAATCCACTAAACAACTACGTCAACAAAGGCAGCAGCAGGCTGCTGGCATTCCAGCGGAGATACTGTAGGGATTTGAGATTTTCAGTCAGTGTTCATATTGCCCTCACTGTCTTCCCAAATTTATTGCATTTCACTCACTCACATCAAAACAACTGCACTGTAGTTAGGCATGACTGGAACAAGTAAAATATGAATAAAAGATCTTTAATTCATGTGTTGACCTCGCCAGCCACTGTTTTAAATTCACCAGGCTACTTACTGCGATGTTTCTTTTAATGTCTGGGTCAGAGCCCAAAGGTAGGACGATTGAAGATTAGAATTGGTCACGAAGGGTTTTGAGGAAATTCATAATAGAACCTGCTTTCCCTGTCTTTGTGTTACCATTGCATCCCCATTTCACCTGAGGTGTTATCAGGGCAGGAAAATGAACAGGACATGCTCTCGCCTCCATCAGTAACTACTAGTGAGAAGCCCTTGAGCAAGCTACTTAACCCTGGCCTGTCCCAGTGGAGCGACTCACAGTGGTGGTGCTGTGTGGCTGTACAGGGCAGCTCCCCTGCGTAAGTGTAGAGCAGAGAAAATGAAAATTGTGATTTTTCGCAAACCTTCACTGGGTGACACAGAAGAAAGCTGTCTAGTAACATGAGATTTTCTAAAATAAGTGCTCCCTTCCATCTAGTAATTATGTGGGTGTGATGGTACATGAGTGAGGAAAAGAGGAAATTTTTTTTTTTACATTTTCACAACTAAAATTTTTGATATCTTTAATACTACCATATCTAGGACATTTAGACAAAACATATCTGTTAGGTTTAATTACTTTCAACCTCATAAAATTTTCTCTCGAAAATTGTATGTAGACACATTTGCAAAGAAGTTGTCCAGAGATTGGAACAATGCTGAAGAAGTCTGAAGAGTGACAGCCGCAGTGCAATGACACTTACAGCAACATCAACATTGGCATGGTTTTCAGCACAACTGAAAATGCCACAGACATCTTCATCATCAGCAGAGCATTATGACAAGTCATCATTATTCAGTCCCTCCAGTTTTACACCAATCATCATCATACTATCATTATATTCATGTAGCAGATTGGCCTGATTTGCATGCAGGGAACACCGCCTCCTTTCACCTTGTTAAAGTAGAAAAAATGGATTTTTATCAGAGTATCTGTAGCAATGCGTGCTGACACAGCACATGTCGAGAATAGCAACAGCATACTATGTTACCCGTAACTACACCTCAGATGTTATTAAAAAAATTAGGCCTATTTTTTTGAAGCCCAATGCTAATCATTATTCTATGATATTAGCAATGATGCTGTGGAATTATACCACTCATCATTGTGCTATTGTTATTATCATTGTGCAGCTACAGTAAATCTGCCCGCTTTGTATGCAGAGGCGATTGAGCTCATTCCAACCAGAAAATGACAGCTTGTTATGTGAGAGAAAATGGATTTCACCGTGTTGTGGTATTGCAAGGGACCCTGAGACAATCCTGTCAATACTATAAAGCACTGTCTAAATTGGTTCTCATATGAAATGTGCAATGCATGAATAAAGAACTATTGATTGGTTCGGCCACTTTCAACAACTCTGTTGCGTGCATGTTTCACTGCATGCACACAGCCTTCCAGAATGTGATAATATTTTGTATTGATTTCTTTTGATGATTTGCGTTCATGTGTGAAGAGTGGTTTTCCTCATGGTAAACATGGGGAGGACCCGCAGATCTAATGTTTTGTTTCAGCAATGAATAACAATTGAGAGAAAATATTTGCAATATTTGATGATGTATGACTTTACTCCATCATAGTACTGTGCGTAGAGATTGCTGTTTTGGCTATAATAAACATAAACTACATTGTCTGTGGTGTGCTTCCATAATAAGACTGTTCAGTGCATCATAATGTCATACACTGAAAACACTGCATAGCCGTGCCTTGTTGTACTCTCTACTTCACAACAAGCATCCAGAGGCGAAACACCAGCACTTAGTGTTCAGCTTTCATTTCATGATGCAAGAAATTGAATATTTCTGTTGTATTGTGATATGTTGTTGTATGAGTGCTGTTCTGTTCGACAGAAGAACCAAAGAAAGGTATACAATGATATGGCCTGCAGCTGCCAGGAACAAGGTCATTTCAGGATACAAACATCACTGTAGAAAATAATCAGAATTTTTTAGATTTTTTTGGACTAGTCTGCAAATGTTCTAGGCAAGTCAACCTGCTCAAACATGTAGACACACGCATATGCACAATATTCTCACATTTCATGTACACATGCAAATAGACAGCTTGAAATCCAGCCATTAGTTTTGTGTCTGTCATTAGCTAAATGGCCTGAAGCTGGAGTGAGACCAGAATAATTATTCTGATTATAGTCCTCTATCTGAGCCCTATCCAAGCACATTACGCTCTTCCGGATTAAAATCTGATGTTTCATCTAGTTTCTAAATCAAGATACAAGGATTTATTTTATGATAGCAGCCAATTGCAATCTCAACATTACCACTAAAACTGGGGAAGATATGTTTTTTTTCCTGTCCTACAGTTAGACTCTTCACTACTGATATCTGGCTTCATAGGGCACTACAACACAGGACCTTTATATTGCGAACTACATCCAAGGCCCCTCAAGTCATCCTTTAAGAGACATTTAGTCTCTGCAGACCTTCTTGACAATAATGGGCGGTTATAGGGTGGCGGTTGTCATTGAGGACTCACCTAGAAAAAAAACAATCTTTTCCTTGCCAGCACTAATTGATCTCAACAGTTCAATATACACCACCTGATAGCTGAATATGACCCTTTGCAGATGAGAAAATCTTATTTGTGTGGCTCCTTTTCACAAATGAAGGGTGACTGCAGCTTCCTGGAATTCTATGTGGTACAAAAATCGAATTATAAATTATACGTTTGATAGCAAGCAGCCTAAAACACCCAATATATGTAATCATAATATCTCGTGTCATTGAATTGGTGTTTAAACAAGAAAGTGATTATATGCATGAATATGAGAGTGAATATGGGCTTGTAACTGTAAGCACGTGTTCATGAGTTTGATGCTCTCAGTGCGACTGTGGTGAAATCATGCAAGCAGAATTTGATAGCGGCTTTGAGGATCAGCACAGTGGGCGCAGCTGGTAGCTACACACACACACACACGGACATACTTTTACTTCTATCTTTGTGAGGACACTCTGACATATTGCATTCCCTAGCCCCTTATCCTAACCCTTTAATCATCACGGCTGAATGCCTAACCCTAACCTAAACCTTATTCTAACCTCAACCCTAAAACCAAGTCTTAACCGTCAAACAGCCCTTTAATGTTGCGAGGACCAGTCAGAATGTCCTCACAAAGATACAAGTACACACACACGCGCGCACACACCTAGCCTATATTACCTGGCAGGGACTGGTGGACCCTGGCTGTGTCAGTATTATCCAAGAGCCAGTATGCCTTCACAGGTGCATACACACATAGACACAAGCACATTTCAGTTTTTGAACGTATACAAACTGCTTTAGTGTTACCATGTAGTGCTCCATCTACACACACACATACACACACACACACACACACACACACACACACACACATTGTTCAGTTGCTTAAATTTCCCTGCATGATTTTCACACCCACTTTCACAGTCACAAGCATTGTAGGAAAAAAAGGACACTTCCGAATGGGCAATGCAATGTGTCAGGAATCTGTGCGACCTGTCTAAATTTGGCCCCAGTCTGTAAAATAAACTATGTGACTCCTCTTTATCTACACTCTGTAAACTTATTTTTGGTGCACAATTCCTTTCATATATTTTATCTTCAGGCAAGCATCCTCCTCTAACTCTCCCCCTCTTCTTCTTCCTCCTCCTCCTCCTCCTCCTCCTCCTCCTCCTCTTGCTCTCTGACTCATTGCTGGGTCTAAAATAAAATGCTACACAGGAGATGCAGGTGCAAGTGGCGGGCAGTTATTTTACAGGGGATTGGCTGGCAACTATAGGCCTATTTTTTATCCTCGAGCTCAGACGCCCTGCTCCCACAATAGCGCTACTCCTACAACATTTGCTCTAGACAGCTGAGTATTTTTCCACTTCCTCATCTAAACACATAAGTCTGCTTTTCTGTCAGATGCTCTGAAATAGCACTATGTGGTTAGATAAGCCGAAAAGATAGAAGTCACCCTGATTTTTTCTTCATCTCCGGTGGCTAGCAGCAACTTTCTGTCTACTCTTGAAAACTAGTTTTCAGTTTCTTTATTTTGTTGAGAAAGTGACAGACTGAAATACACTTAGGATAAAACATTTTACTTTAGGCCTTACAGTAGCTGGTGATGGAACAGCATTGTGTATGCAAAGAACATGCACAGACCGCCCCTGATTTTTTAGATTTACCTTGTCCAACTTGGCAGCCTGCACAGCTAAAAACAATTAAAGCCAAACCAATGCTGACAGTGCTGATGAGTCTACCTCCTTTGGTTTGAGCAAATCAAATGAAGATTAGGGCTGCAAATAACTTGTTTTGTCTGACCAACAGTCCAGAACA